AACCCTAACCCTAACCCTAACCCTAACCCTAACCCTAACCCTAACCCTAACCCTAACCCTCCCACTACTAGGGGCTATTTTCTATTTAAGATCATGTTGCTCTTTCTATTCAAAAGAAAGGTGAGACTCATACAAGTCCAACAAGCCCAGGATTGTCCAAATTGGACCATGGGAAGTCCTTCAAATATAGGACCAAAGTTACTCTATAGCCCTCTGGCTGGCTTAGGGAATTCATAGATTCCCTGAGCCAGCCTTGAGCACTCTGGCGCTGGAAAGCTACCAGTTGCCAGTGCACTTCAGCCCCTTGATCTAAGCAATCATGGAGTTGCAAGCTCTGTCTTTCTAGGCTGTTCGAAAACAGGACCTGGTTTGACAGGCTGCTCCGATACATTACAATGAACCTATCGTATCACAGTTATCTCCCCATGCCTGATATCTTCTTAACAGACTGTACAGTATTCATACGAAAAAAACACATTTTTGGCCAGAACGTCTTGCCGACAACCAGCTGATTTGTCTGCGGGTAGAGGTAGACGAGACAATCTAAATGCGACGATGATGATCAGGAAACAATGAGGGTAGTTGAAATCTGAAACCAAAAGGTTGTGATCAATATTTGTAATGAACATGGTCAACGAAAGGTTCTACACGAGGAAATCCAACCGATGAAATAACGAGGTCGTTTTGGTATCACCGACATCCCTCAGATGATCCACAGACGACAGTTGTGAGGGCACGGTGGGCGCGGGGAGAGCAAGTTGAGCATCGTCCAAAGATTTGAAAATAATGGCTTGCTGTTTAGACCGTTGCTTGTCGGTCTCCGTCTCCCTCAGTTCTCTGATACAGCCCCCCAAGACTTGCTTGACGTGCTCAAAGGATTTCAGGAAAGTCGGGTGATGGTAGCTCAGGTTTTCCTTTAATAACTTGACCGTCAATTCTAAAAAGTTGAGCAGTGTGTTGCTCTCCGATTTGGTGCCGGGTGTGATTTTCGCATTCCGTCCAGTCCGGAGAACCAATTCTTCTAACCTCGAGATGATCTCCACATCTTCTTTCCTGTGATTCTGTGCTTGATCTGGCAGCTCATTGTTACCGGACACTCCTTGACTTCCCCCAAGACTTTCTTCGGCCGATGGCTCGTTCGATTCAAGCTTAATTTTGAAGGCGGTCTCAAGTTCTTCGTCCGACCCCCCATCAAGGATTGTGATGGCCAAAAACGAATTGATCAAATCGAAATCAATAATTTTTTGCGTTGAGTTTTTCGCAATTGCTTCCGATACTAATTCTCTAGCCTTGAATTTATCCGATTGAGACCAAAGTACTCTGACAATGAGTCCTGAGACTGCAGATGAGTAGGGCGCAAACCGTTTAGGGGGGCCCAGTGATTCGTCTTGCTGAACAGTGCGTATCTCGCGAAGAGCTTCATCAAGGTCGGATAGACACTTCTCCACATCTTGCAAGAAGTATCTGGCGATTGCGATCTGACAAGCCGCTTGAGTTCGGATGATGGTTGATTTAAGAGCACCTTCAATAGGTTCGGTTTTTATATCGAACGGCGGCCTTAAGCTCAAAACAGTCTCGAGAACATCGATAGCATCTTGGTATTTTTTTTGCCCCAGGTGAATCCGACCCAAATTTAAGTTAGCCAAAATGAACTGTTGTTCAACTTGGACCGATTCTGTCACTTCGTAGACTGCCTCTAAAATTTCTGCCGATTGTTTCAAGCTTCCAGCTGCCGCCTCGAATTTTCCTGAACCTTCCGAAATAAGCGCATGGAGGTTCAAGAGCGTAGGATCATTGGGATATCTCTTTAATAACTTCTCCGCCGCCAATAGCGGGGCGATAAGCGCATTGGTATGCTGGCACGACCTTTGCGCATCATCGGTAAACGTCTTTAACGTCACCGTGGCGTAGCAAGATTCGATGGAGGTCTACGAGGCATTTCACATTAGCAGAGATATCATCAGCACTGGGGAATAGTCCAGCTTTTTTTTTTTTTTTTTTAAAAAAAAAGTAACCCTTATCACTTACAACACTTCCTAGCGATAGAGTATAGGCTTGCTCAACCAGTTCGCTAGCTTTTTGTTGGTTACCAATGAGGGAAGCTATCAAAGCGCAGCCCATCCAAGACAAAGACCAATCGGGTTGGTATAACTGAGCTCTTTCGAAAGCTTCGGTTGCGAGGTCCAAATCAGAATGAGAGATATAAAAGAAACCAAGGTTGGTCCAAGCGATATGATTCTTGGGTACAAGCTCGACCGATCTGATGAATGCGTGCTGAGAGAGTCTTGGGTTCAAACTGAAGGTCAAAACACCCAGGGTATTCCAAGCTCCTGAACTCAATGAGTTCCTCTGCAAGCCTGCTTTGATACAATGGACTGCTTCAGATAATGTGGCTTGCGGGCCCAATTGAGTTGTAAAGAAGGTGGAAGGGTCTCTGGACGAGAACTTGCTAGAGGCCGAGTCAAGCCATCTACTGAGACTTCCTAAGGCAATCGCTAGGTCCGACCAAGCTTCTGCCTCGCTGTTCTTCTCAGTATCTGATAGCTCGATTACCAGCCGAACTTTGAAAGAAAGCGCGGATGCTAAGAGAAATATTCCAGGAGAGCCACTCTCAGCCGAAATCGCGCTCGTCTCTAGGCAATTCACAGATTTGACATTGGTCATGATACTGTCGACATTCATCTTTGCTGCGAGATTGACAAAATACGACAGATAGACCTTCAGCTTTTCGTTTGAATCGTCTTTGCCTGCGTCCACAAGAAAAGTTGACGTGGGAATTGTACGATTCCAGTGGGCGAACTCCGCAAATGCGTTCCCGGCAATTTTCCAACCGGCCTTGGTCATAAGTCTAGATTTAGTTTTCAGAAGTACATCGTGAACGATGTCTAAGCAGCTGATCAGTTCAGATTCTGCTTCGGCGAAAGCCCCCGCCTCAGAATTCCTCAAACCCATCATATATTTGGCCTCGGCTAGGATGATCTTGACACCGAGCTCGTCGGGCCGATTTTCGGCTAGTTTCCCCAGGTTCTTGATTGCAGGTTCGAGTAGCCCGAGTTGCCTCTGTGAATCACCGATACAAAAGTCAACATACCATTCAGAGGATGACCCATCGGATTTGGATGGTGAATTCGATTCAGCAGAGGTGCTGTTGATGATTTGACGAGCGGCAATAAACGATTTGAGGGCGGCGACGTGTTTCTCGGCGCCTTGGTAAGCCAGTCCTAACTTCAACAAGATTTGATAATCATTGGGGGAGCATCGAATGGCACGTTGAAATGTATTGATTGCAGCGTCAAATTTGCCTTCGCTTAACTGAACTACTCCAGATGCCTTCCATGCCCAGACGTGCTGCTGGTAACTTGCAAGATTGGTCAACCCGCTTGATTCATCCTCATCATCACTCAGCTGAAATTTTTGCTGAACACCCCCAAAGAGCAGCCGCCTGGTCACAACTGCAACTAGATCCCATTGTCTATTATCGGCAAACTCCGAAGCCAATTTGAAAGCAGCGAGTTCCTCTGTGGCGTCCAACTCAAAAGCTCTTTGAAAGCATTTTGAAGACCTAGCGTGGTCATGTTGCTCATCGTAATATAATCCGAGGTAGGTGAAGGACGAAGCAATTGAGGTGTCGCATTTGATAGATTTGATGAAACAAGTGTAGGCACTATGCTTGAGCTCTTCGAGGTAACTTTGGTCGAGTCCTACCTCATTCGGCTTCTCCGGGTGACTTAGAGCCCAATTGCACCTCCCTAGCCGATACCAACTTTGCGCGAGATTGTGACTAGCTTCTTGAGTGTCTGTGTCTTGCTTCATTATTTCTTCGCAACCTTCAATGATTTGCTCTAGATTCTGAACGGCCAGACTTATGCTACCAATCTCAAATAGGCACCAAGCCTTCTCTGATTGTACCTCGAGTCTT